TTTGGAATATTCTCTGGGTTTGGTTGTCCAGGTTGCTGTGCATTCGCTAAGTTCTGTGCGTCCATTTAATATTAGATAAAAATATCTCTTACGAGTACATATGCTGAACATTTGCAGGCATTGGTTCATCTTCATATTCTCTGTACTTTTCTGCCACGTCAAATAAACAAATGACACAATGGAAAAAACCTAAAACAAGTAGTCCTATTTCAAACCACATTTACTTACTAATAAAATTTCTTTGTTATGACACTTTCTCCAGTTTATAGGACCTCTCTCATATTCTATCTTGTCATATATAAACTCATAGTCATGTATGTCCTCTAACCATCTCATAACGGTTTCCAAACCACTTTTATCGGATGTAAAGTAAAAGCATGGATGGTTATGTATAACGTCTAAAGTTTCTAAAGAGTCTCTCAAAGTCCAGTCTACTTGGTATTGAAAATCCCATGTGTTATAGAACGGCGGGTCCACTATAAAGAAAACATTTTCCTTGTCTTTATATTTTTCATACAACTCTGTCCAATGACATCTCACAAACTCTATACCCTCAATATATTTTTCTATGTCCTCTTTGAAAACATTTGTATAGTTAAGATATAAAACTTTTGACATAAGTGTTTGAATGTCATGAACTCTTATAGCACCACTATATAATAGTCTAGCAGATATACTATCCCAGTCTATATATTCTGCTTTTTTCAAAACCTCTCTCACAATATTTTTCTTATCTAATGGTATACGTTCCATCTTACCTATAGGTATCTTTTCTTTTAACTCTTTCAATATATTGTTTGTGTCTGGAATATGTTTGAGACGGTCCATATAGTTGTCGAAGTCATTGCATATAATCTTTGAGTCTGGGAATATTGTATGGCACAAATGGGATATATAGAAACTTCCACCGAACAAATCTACAAATGTTAGACCATTCGGTAGTTTCTTAAGTTCTCTCAATATAATATCTTTACATCTACTCTTATTTCCAAAGAACGGTAACGGTGGTTTTGTAAAATTCATTTATATATAATAATAAAAATGTTTTTACCCGAAAAGTGACAGAAAAGTGACAAAACATGAAAACATATATAATTTGTGAAAAGCGACATAAAAAGTGACATTTAAAAAGTGACACTGTTAATATGATGTAAATAACAACGGTTTTGGTTTTGTCACCGGCTGGTCGGCTGGGGTTCGGTCCTCCTCTTGGGTCTTGGGCAAAATTTCTTATGGGCTAGAGGGCGCAACGCGCCTGGAAGCCCTCCGAATAAAAACTTCATTTATACTAAACATCTTCGGGGCTAGAGGGCGCAACGCGCCTGGAAGCCCTCCGAATAAAAACTTCATTTATACTAAACATCTTCGGGGCTAGAGGGCGCAACGCGCCTGGGAGCCCCACTACGAGTATATAAGAATTTCCGAAAAAGTGACACCCAAAAAGTGACACTTTCAATAGGGAGTAACACTTAAAAAGTGACAATTTAAAATTCACAATAAATAAAAATAATAAATTTTTTAGTCTATTAAATTATTCTTTTCTTTGAAATCCTCTAAAAATTCTTCGAAATGTTCTAAAATATAATCTGGAGAATTATAACAAAATTCATTAATTTCTAACATATACGTATCTAACAATTCATTTGGAATTTCAAACGATCTTAAATATGTAATTGAATTTTGTATCTTCTCATTTATTTGAGAAAGTTTTTCTTCAGCATTTTCCAATAAAAATCTTAATGGATTCAAATTGGCTTCTTGATTCTGAACAAAATTTAATACTTGGTATAAACGTGATTGAACTTCTCTTTTCAATTTTGTTTTATAATCTGTCAATCGAGGCTCGCGAATTCTAATTGAAGGAATAAAACCTGTTTGAAGTAAATCGTTTTTAATACGATAAAAGTAATTGGGTGCAACTTCTTCTAAAAGATTTTTGACAAAAACATCAATTCTTTGATTTTTAACGCAGCCAAAATCGTGATATTTTATCTTTTTAAATAAAGATTCAGAAACGTTATTCACAACGGTTAATTCATTTGGTCTGGCAGCGGCTATCCACATCATAGCCAACAATTCCTTATACAAAATTCAAAAACTTGGGTGCAATCAGTTCTGATTGCACCCAAGTTTTTGAACTTTCTTGAGGGAATTAAAGGGTGAGAGATTTATAGTCTATCTATATATCTCCCACCCTCTAATTCCCTCCCTGACAGCGGGAAACTTTGTCTGAATGTTAAACTATTCAGACAAAGTTTCCCACTGTTTGCGAAGGAATTGTTGGCTATGATGTACTGATTCATGATCAGTACATCATAGCCAACAATTCCTTATATAAAGTTCAAAAACTTGGGTGCAATCAGTTCTGATTGCACCCAAGTTTTTGAACTTTCTTGAGGGAATGGAAGAGTAAGAGGTATACATTATGAATATATACCTCTTACCCTTCCATTCCCTCTCTGACAGCGGGAAACTTTGTCTGAATGTTAAACTATTCAGACAAAGTTTCCCGCTGTCAGCGAAAGAATTGTTCCATCTGGTGCATAGAGTGTGAATATATGCACCAAATGGAGCAAGTCCCTCGCGAAATTGCCAAAACTTGCGTCGCATTTCAAAGATTGCGACCCAAATTTTGGCGATTTCTAGTAGAGATGGAGTATTTTGAGTCACTGACCTATATGCAGTGGCTCAAAGGGCTCCATCTCTACTTTGAAGCAAGGAAACTTTCCTCGAAATTTTGATAATTTGAAGAAAGTTTTCAAGCAATTAACAAAGGATTACTCGCTATGAGGTAAAAATTCTAGATTTTCACCTCATAGCGAGAGCTTCCCTTTCATTGCTTGAAAACTTTCCCCAGCTTCAAAATTGGGGAAAGGGCTGTAAAGTCGACTCCGATACCAGCAGGTACCAGAGTATTTAAAAGAGAAGCCCTCGTACGAGTTTCTATGAAGACCTTCTCATTCAAGAAGATCTTAATAGAAAATCGTACGAGGGCATTGGAAACTCGCGTCTGGTACATGTTGGTACCAGAGTGTTTGAGATTTGAAGACTCTGGTACTAACATGTACCAGAATTTATGATGAATTTAAGATGGACCATTATAAAATGGTAGCGGTTTGTTTCAAAAAAATTTAGATGAGATTTGCATAGATATAGATTATATGATTTATACATATGAAAAATAATATATAAAAATATAATTTTGAGATAATTATGTAAATAATATTTTAAATATTTGAATTTGAGGTATAATTTTATAGTAAAATATATTATAAAGAGTATTTATATAAATATTGTAAAATAATATAAGTAATAAAAATTGAGACCCCTCCCTGTTTTTGATGTTTTGTCACTTTTTCGGTAATTCTTATTGTTTCGAAGCCCTCCGAATAAAAACTTCATTTATACTAAACATCTTCGGGGCTAGAGGGCGCAACGCGCCTGGAAGCCCCACTACCTTTTTTTTAATGATAACATTCATCGAGCTCAAGAACGAATTAATTTTTTCAAAAAAAATTCAAAAAAAGATTTATCAAAGTAGAAAATAAGGATTTTATAATGAAATATGAAAAATGAAAAAATTTTAGAAAAACACATGCACATTATAATTGATGTTGATGAGAAATGAATCATATTTTCAACATAAATAATGCGTTATTACTTAATATTTTATAATTCAAAAATTTTTATTTGTTTTAAGGGTTTAATTATTAACGTTTTACTATGTAACAACAACATTGAATGAACTTAGTGTTAATTCAAAGTATGAAAGATAATTTTTTTTCTGGATATACGAAAGGTTTTGGGTTAAAAATATATAAGATATTGGCTTTAATAGACATGAACAAGTAAGAAATTAAACATTCGAGTCCGAATCCATTAGAAATTCGAAAAATATGCAATATTTAACTAATGATTCTTTAAGATTATGCTTAGTATATCAAAGGATAATTCTTTACTAAATTAGTATGATTATGCTGGATTTTTTTGGATCTTGAACCTATTCGATATGATTATTCGGTTTAAGTCAGTCTAAATTTTTGAGACTTCACTTTATTTTGTAAATAAAGGAAAGTCAAGTTACTGAAAAGAGGAAGTAATAAATTTAAATTGGTTTCTTCTCGAAAATGACCCAATAACATGGACCTGATATTTAAAAGGGTATGATGGCATGAATTGGCGAAGCATTTTATTATAACAGCAGGGGATACTGAGCGTAATTACGTGCAATGCAGAAAATTAAATTTTGTTGTAAGAGTCTGAGTGTAGGTTTATCATCACAATGAAATCAAATCATGGTTAGTAATATAATCTTTTGACAACAACATTTTTATTTTTTTTTTGAAGATTACTAACTTTTGAAGATAATTAAACGTTCCTTCAATGATGCAACAAGGATGCACATGGAGTTTAATGCAATTGTCTTGTGTATATCTTTTTGGTGGTCCAATAACATTAGCCTTATGGTAAGTTGTTTTTTTTTGCTAGAAAACATTTTTATTTTTTTTCCGCAAAACGACATCCTTAATTAATTGAGCTTTTCAAAAAAAAACTAGATTTTTCAGTACTTTACAATTTCTCAAAAACCCTAAAGCAATTCCTCAAAATGCACGAGGATGCTTCTATTGAAGAGTTAAAATCTCAGTTCAAAGGAGGAATTGTTGAAATTTCTTCATTTGAAATGCAGAAAATGATCGGCAAAGGTGGATTCGGAGAAGTTTGGAAAGCAATTCACAAACCAACAAACACAGTTTGTGCTGTAAAGAAACTATTCTTACAAGAAAGCGATACGGATGATGAATCAATCGAATTATATGTTCGAGAGGTTAAAATCTTAGCTCAAATGAAAAACTTATTTTGCCTCAGGGTTACTCGGATTTTCTATCCAACAACCGTTCATAATTGTCACCCCATACATCCAAAGTGGCAGCTTATTCGATTATGTATGCAGCCACTCGTCGAAGCCTCCTTTGGAACCAACAAATTTAACCTTGATCGCAATGGGTGTTTCGTATGATCTAATGAAGCTCCACGAAATGGGATTAATACACAGAGATCTGAAATCGCCCAACATCCTTCTAGACCAGCGTTTACTTCCTTACATTTGTGATTTCGGTATTGCAAGACAAACAGGAGATCGAATGACAAAGGATATCGAAATGGATTCTCGTCATTACGATAATAAGGTTAATGTTTATTCCTACGGTTGTATTCTCTACGAAATGCTAGTTCACAAGTATCCCTATCAAGATTGCACGTCATACAAAGCAGCTGCTAACATTATGAGTGGTAAAAGACCTGAATTACCAAACCATGATTCCCAGATTTGTTCCCTTATCTCCAAATGCTGGGCACAGGATCCAGAGAAAAGGCCCCCAATGCGTAACATATTCAAAGCATTTTGTAAACTGAAATTCCAGTTTGATAATACACAAGAGAAAGGAATTCTCGCTTTGATTAATATCATCTGCAAGAATGATTCCAAGTTAGCACCCAAGATTAAACGATGGATGAATTTAACTAAAGAATCTAAAACTTCCTCGAAGAAAACAGATTCGAAGCCAAAATCATCACCTCCAAAGGAAACCGAACAACAACCAGAAGTAAAGAAAGACAAGCATCACCACCATCATCACCACGATAAAGATAAAGAGAAACATTAAATTTCACTTTATCTAAATGCTTAGGTACTTAAATCCGTCATCTTGTTTATCTAATTTTACTTTAAAAATTGTATTTGTCTTGCCAATGTTTTAAACTATCCAAAATTATCCTTCTGCTGCATTATTGATTTGATTATGCTTTTATTATTTGGCATTTGTCTTCTATTAGTTGATATTCATGGTGAGAATTTTGAGAAATCTCCTTCTCAAGGCAGTAATACTGATTGAATAATAGTGCAAAGTGATTCTTTATTGTTGTGGTTATTACAGTAAAGGGATCTACGCAAACTTTGTTTTCACTATTAGATGCCGTATCGAAGTAAAATGCTTTTTATGTAAAAACTATTGGACTATGTAGAATAAAATGTTGTTGGAATTAAGCAATTTGAAATTAAAAAAAATTTCTTAGATAAAACATATAATTTCGGGGTTTTAATTAATACCATTTGTTTGAAAATCAATCTAAGAGTAGCTATGCCATTTCATAATTTTCAATTCAAATTCCATTTAAAATTTTTTCTTAGGTTAGAAGGTTTATTAATATTTATACGTTAACACCACTTCCACTATCTTCGTCAACTTCTTTTTCTGGTGGTGGAGCCAGAGAAGAAGATTCTTTCTTTTGTGATCTATTACGTTTATTGCAGCAGACGAAATATATGATAACAATAATAAGAACAATAGCAAGAATAACACAAAAGATGATTGCAATAATTTCACCAGCGCCCATTTTACCTTTTTCTGTTGGAGTTGGGGTTGAAGTGGATGGATCTGGAGTATCACCTTGTGAAATAGAGGCTGTATAAACTGAATTCAATGCAAGAAGAGCTCTAGAAGTAGATGTGCTAGAGAATGTAGTTGTGCATGTCAAAACTTTGACTTCATTGGATATTTTATGCTCAAGTTCATATCCTTCAATTGATAAGTTCTTATCTGTTATACCATATGCTTCTTGATCTTTTTGATTTGATCCGAAAAATATAAATTTGTATCCTTTTGAATTAGAAACAGTTACAAAAGGGATTTTAAAGCTATCAGAAGTAATTGTATATTTTAGCTTGATTGTAATTGTATAAGTGTAATCTGTGAGATCTGGAAGTTCTGCAAAAATTGGTCCATCAAGAGTAACAGAGATATCACTCGTTGCAGTGCCATTCGTTGAAAGTTTAAGCTTGATAGAATTTATCGCAATGAGGCTTTGAGATTGTTTAGCTAAATCAATTTTATAATTCAAGTAACTTCCAGTTTGCTTTAAGCTAAAGTTGCCATCTTCAACATCACCGGCATCGGATGCAGTAGATTGAAAATCTGTACAACCAGAAGCAAATCCATGCATTACAAGGGCAAATAACATTGATGAAGAATAATGAAATAAAATTATCGACTTATCTTTTGAAAATAATAATACAAAAAGTGAATTTGAATAGTATTATGTATTTTTTTTAAAAAATTATTTATTTACACGAGTATATTCATTCGATGGGAAAATAAAATGTTGTCAACAGAAATTTATCAAAAGTGACACCTCAGAAAAGCTAAAATATTGAATTTTTGGAACTTTTGATAGAGCACGTTTTTAAATATTAATTAAAGTAAATGTATATTTTGTAAAGATTCTTTTTAATAAAAAAATAAAATTTTGAAGAAGAACACAAAATCTTCTGAAAAATAATATCACATAAACTCATATTATTTTCTAATATATAACTATTTTATATAAAAATCAAATTCAATGATCTTAAAAGCGAAGGATAAACCTCAAAATTTACGAATATAATGAGTGGGAATATAATGCTTATCTATCATAAAACCATATGAAATATCAATTTTTGCTTTACGCCTAATTTTTGACGACAATTAGCAAAAAATGTTAAATGTTAACACTCAGTCCATTTGAATATGAAAAATAAAATTGACTTTGATTAAATGTTTTTATTTATCATGCAATTCTTCTTGCGACCAAAGATTTGAATAAAAGTTCAAAAAATAAGATAGCTTAAAAAATAATATACGGTAGTGTTTACTAATAGATGAATAGTATATAAATTCTATTAAAATGGATTTGATCCAAAAAATATAAAACCAAAAATAATTGTTATAATTTAAATGAAGAAGTAATTTAAAACGATTTTATTTATGATCAAATTTTATATATTTTTTTGGATCAAATCCATTTTAATAGAATTTATATACTATTCATCTATTAGTAAACACTACCGTATATTATTTTTAAGCTATCTTATTTTTTGAACTTTTATTCAAATCTTGGTCGCAAGAAGAATTGCATGATAAATAAAAACATTTAATCAAAGTCAATTTTATTTTTCATATTCAAATGGACTGAGTGTTAACATTTAACATTTTTTGCTAATTGTCGTCAAAAATTAGGCGTAAAGCAAAAATTGATATTTCATATGGTTTTATGATAGATAAGCATTATATTCCCACTCATTATATTCGTAAATTTTGAGGTTTATCCTTCGCTTTTAAGATCATTGAATTTGATTTTTATATAAAATAGTTATATATTAGAAAATAATATGAGTTTATGTGATATTATTTTTCAGAAGATTTCATTCTATATGCCTATGAAAAGTACTCTCAAAACTAACTTTTTCCTAATTATAATTAAATCTAGAATATTGTATTATGCTTAGTATTATTTCATTTTTCTTATTCAATTTAGAATTTACAAATGTCAAAAAAATTGAGAGCTGTCACTTTTGATGAATTTCTGTTTATTACAAAAATGACCTTATTTTATGCAAAAGAATTCTGAAAAGTTTGAATTTTATCATAAAAATTGAAGATGTCATCGGAGATACACTTTTTGAAAAAGATTTTTCAAATTTTAAGAATCGAGTCTCGCTAATATTACAGAGTTCTCGGAAAAATACTTGGCAATAAAATTTTACATTTTGGGGTTTTCAAAAATGTGAAGGTACAATTAACCTTAATTAGTTGGATTCATAATCTAAATGAATGAATCCCCAAATAGTATATAGTTTTTCAATTCTGTAATATAATTACTTGGCATAACATGCTCAACTATTGGATTGGAGGATATTCGTTAAGGGTGCACACGAGAGGATCATGTAAACTTCAGAATTTAGAACCTTATTTTTAGGCATTATCTTGGCTACCTATAGGGTTGTTAGATTCCCGACGATAGGTGTCTTGGAAGATTTGCCTGGTGTCATCATAGTGTCTTTAAATCAAAAATTTTATTTTGGAGTTAGTTTTATTGATTTTTCAATAAAAAACATTTCTAAAACAAGAAAATGAAACGATAAAATATTTATATTTTATATAAGGATCTTATATATTTAAAATAAATATCATTTTATTTTTTTCATTGGTGTCTGTCAAACCATAATACACTATTCAAAAATTCAATGTGTCTTGCGGTTCCAAAAGACACCTTCAAATTGAACGATAGCACAGACACTATTGAATTTTACCCATTGTATTTAGTTTTTACCCTTTTTATTTTTAAGAATTAATGACTGAAACAGCCGTTTTGCTATGACCTCAATCACTTTTTATTTATTTTAAATATTATTTAATTTTATTATTTGAATAGGCCAGCTTATATTTGAGAAGCTCAATTTGAGACCACTTAATACATTGAAATATCATAAATATTGAAATATTAAAAAGTGTATTTCAAAATATTGAAATTATAAAAATTTATAATACTGAAATTGAGACAAATTAATAAATTCAATGTGTTTTTTTTTGAAATAACTCTCAAATATTATTTTTTTGTTTATTTAATGATGAATAAATATGATTGCTTTAGTCAATCATAAAAACTAATTTAAGTTTAAAATAATGAAAGGATAATTTGATCGTTTTTTAAAATACAATTATTTTTGATGATTTGCAAGAATCTTTGAAAAGAATATAATATAGGTTCTATTTTTGTAAAATTTATCCAAATCATGTATTACATAAATTACGATTAAAACGATGAAAGAACCAAAAAGTGTGTTTTGTGTTTTGTTGTTGCGTGTTGGATGCGGGATCCTGTTATTTCCGAAATCGACAAAAAATTTGGAAATTTAATTTCCGAAATCGAAATTATATTAATGTTTTTAATATTCTTATATCAAAAGGATTAAAGTTCATTAAGAGAAAAACAATTCTTCTTCTTCAATCTATTGGCGCATTTATTTCTACACGCCAATAAGGAAGGGAAAATTATAAGACATCATGGTGTCTTCAAAACGCTAATTTTTGATATTTTTAACAACCCTAGCTACCTATTTAGGCTCGAAAAGCAAAAAATATCAAAAAATACAACTTGACTCCATTATGACCCTTTCATGGAGGTAGTTTTTATCCGCTAGTATTTTCCCTTTGAATCTCTTTACAATTCGAAATCAAATTCAAACCTCAGTAGAAGAAAGGAAGAATCGACTTACTACGGTTGTAATACGAATAAATACATATATTTAATTATTTTTATTTACATAATAATTGTTTGAAGCTCATATTCCAACAAATTTTTAAATAAAAACATTAAAATGTTGAAAATGTTCATATATTTTAATAGGGTTTTGGCACTTTATTGAGGAATTACTACATACATAGTCGAACTGAACTTGATATTTTGAAATTTAAAAGTAGTAGGATATGATGGGTTTTGTGACTTTTTTTGTTACATCTATATATAGACGAGGCATTAAAATATATTTATTTATAAACCATTAAAAAAATTAACATTAATTTTAAAATAATTTATTTTTTTATCTTTTATAAAAGAAGCTATATATAGATGATGTCAGATATTCCGCGATTAATTAAACATTGTTTAAATCCTGAATGGGTTAAACTTCAATTTAAAAATGAAGATTGTGAATTATTAAATGAATATGAAAGCCAAAATAAGCTAATGAGGTATAAATATAATGATAAAGAATATTTAATTTCATGGAATCAATGGAGTCATAATCAAAGACCTCATAAACGAGAAGAAGAAATTGAAAATAATGAAATGGAAATCATTGATGACATTAAAGAGGATGGAATTCCTAAATTTTGTAGAAAAACCTTTAGAACTAAGTTAGGAGCATATAAACGTAGAGTATTAAATCCTGAATATCTTAAACATCAATTTAAAAAGGAAGACTGTGAATTATTAAACGCTAATGAATATGAAAATGCTAAATCAAAACTGAGATATAAATATATTGGAAGTGATGAAAGGTGTAAAGATAAAGATAAAGTTTATTCAGTTTCATATAATAACTGGCACACGTTAGGGATAAGAAAACATTTAGGAGATTATGGGAAATGTTCTGAATTCTTTAAATCTAGTATATACGAGAGAGTAAAAGAAATTAGAAATAATTATTTTCATGAATAAAAAATAAACTTTAAAAAATAAACTTTTTACGAAAAATTAAAACTTAGTTATGTTTATTATTTTATTTTTTTATTTTGTATGAAATGAACAGCTCTAAATTCGTGACTGTGAATCAATTAATGGATAAACTTTCACCAATTCTCACCCAGGTTAAACAAGTAGACGTTTATTTTGATGATTGCATACAAAGTTTATTTTATAAAGGTAAGTTTAATATTAAACCTATTGCTTTTGCATTTGATGGTAAATTAATCGAAAATTCAAAAATTTGGGAATTAATTCCGGATATTGAATTTATAACAAATATTAAGGATAAATGGTTTAAACAACAAAACCACCTCACTAAAGTTCTTTGTAGATTAATGATTAAAACTGAGGAAAAAGAATTTAACGGTTTAAATATCATCCATGTAAAATTTTAGAACTTGGTAACGAAAAACTTCAGAAAAAATTAAACGATAGACTATCAAAAGATAAAGTTGAAAGAGTAAATAAACTCGCTAAAGGTAATGGTAATGATGAAGAAGAATTTGATGAGTTCAACATTGAACTTTAAGAAACTAATGATTATTTGAATTTATGAAATCAATTATTTGATTCATCTTTCTTCAATCTCTTCTATTCTTTTGTTAAATCATCTATTTTCATTAATGAGGTGATTCTTGATTGAGGAATAGATTTCAAACTAACCACTCCTTTTATTTTTGAAATTTTGAATCCATCAACTTTTAAACATTTTATTCAATTTACACGTTGTCAATTCTTCAAATAATTTTTTATTATTAGCATAATAGTCATTAAATTCTTCAACAGATGAAAAAATTTTTATTTCAGTAATTGGTTTAACAACATTTATTTTTTGTTGGACATTTTCACTTTCATTTATTTCTTCCTCCTCTGTTTCATTTATTTTTAAAATCGGTTTCATTTATCATTAAATAAAAATTAGAATATAAGTGATGAAATATATTTTTTAATTAATATTAAATCAGAAATGGCGGCAGGATTCTTTAAAAAATTATGGGATGGAATTAAGAAAGCTGCGGGTTCGGTTCATAAAAAGATTATTAAACCCATTGCAAACTTTTTGGCACCAGTAGCGAAAACGGCAGGAACTATCATAGGTGGAGTATTAGGTACTAAAGCAGGTAATCCGGCGATGGGAGCACAAGCAGGTAACGCAATTGGTGGAATAGCTGAAGGAATACTTAATAAAATAGGAGGTAGATAGTGGAAAAATAAATATGAGATCCTATGGATCATCTCGCCACTTAGCGGCTTAAAATTATTTTTATCTTAGTATCGGTTGTAGTCTTTGATAAACTTTTTCTCCTTTATTTAAAACTTCTCTTATTGGGGCAGCTTTTGGTGTTATTGATTCAGCAACGTCACTAATTGCTTCTTTATTCTTAAATATCCAATTTGCCCCCTTCTTCAATGTTTCCCAAACTTTACTCGCTCCTCTTTTTACTTTATCCCACAGTTTCTTAAATATACCTGCAGCCATAGTTGATTATTTCATTAAAATTAAAAATTCATTTTCATCTTTTAATTTTGATTTTTTATTTATTAATAAATGACGACTAACTATTTGGTGCCAAACACTAAACCGATTAATGGAAATGTGTTTCATTCATTCGAAAAGATAAATGAAATATTCGCAAAGAATGACGGTAGAAGATATTATAGAGAACTTGAAAGTTCATGCTATGACTCTGATGCTCCTATTTTGATGATAACAAACTCATTTAAGAATTACAAATCCGGCTCATGATGTGAACCAATTAGGTGACACATATATTAAACGCAAAGTTAAAGCAACTCTTGTTTCAAATAAAGCTTTCACATGTGATGCCGCTTTTAAATGCATGCGTTTATTCGTTGGTTACAAATCATCAAATCAAAGCTTTAAACAATTAGAAGTAGAAACCGAAAGAGGTGATGCCGGTTATCTTCAGATGGATTGCGCCCGTGAATCTTTCGCATTTGCAACATATAAACCAAAATCAGAAAAGAAAGTTAAAAAGTTTGTTCATTCGTTATATAATAATGTTCAAAAATATGATAGCTCAGTATGTGGTAAATATATTGACCCTTCAGAAGTTTTCAAGAAAGCAAATGAAGAAGTTGATGTCACTTTTGATATGATTATTCGGTAAATGATTTGTTAGCATTTCAGGCGTTCGATGATTATCCTAAATCATTTGGTGATATCATTCTTAAATATTATGTTTTCAGGGATACTTTAGTATTTTGTCAGGTTGACCCGTTAAGAGTTGCTGATTTACAAAATTACGTTTATGAAAAGATAACTGATGAAAATTATGAAAAGATTATGAATCATGTTTATAAATATGATCGCAAATTCCAACAAATCGGACTTCCTGCCAAATTAATTACAAGCTTAGCCGCTACATCTGCTGACGCAACAGTTGATGACGTTATTATTTCATGCACAAAGATGGAAGTTTTAGAGGATAAATGCATTACACCAGGATACGGTTTAATTGAAGAATCAGTTAAAGCAATACCACGTTTATTCAGTAAGGAAGATCCATTCATGATTCCAGCTCAACATATTGACGTTCGTTCACTAAATGGAGTTGCATCACTCCTGAAGGTATCAGCTCAGATTTCTCATACGCTCTTCATAATGTTACAGATGTTGTGTTAGCATTTCCGAAGAATGCACTGCAAAGAACAGTTTTAGAAAATCCAATGCTTCGAGGTCTTCAGGTCACTATAGATTCCAGAAACTTCCCCGATCAAGCGACGACCACAGTGGGCGACATATTCTTTACACGTATGCTTCAAGCTTCTGATTTAGATGGAGTGAATGAATGCACAGAAGAATACGAGGACTCATTAACTAGACCACTGAATGCAGATGATGGCACGCCATTAGCTAGAACATGGAAAGACCAAACTTCATTCTTATGCACTATTCCAGTTCAACGTGATGGAGCGGGTATATTCTTGATGGATTAGAAACTTTCAACTCACAAGTTACAGTACAAGTGAAAGCTTATCCAATCATTCAGGTGAAAATGACACTTACTGTTCAAAGGTGACAAATCCTCCTCAGGTTTGGTTTACTAGGACTACATATTGGACATGGACACCGGATGAAGGTTTGAAATATCATCCAACAGGTACACCACCACAGTATAGAAGTTCATATGATGAAATATTGATGAATAGAAATGTTTAAAATTATCAATTTATTTTTGATTAAATGGATTTAAATTCATACACCCCTTATGAAGAATTAGCAGGAGTATATAATACATACATAGATGATATGATTAATGAAGCATTGAGTGATAATAGAAATGCTCTATCTAAGGAAAAATTAATGAAAATTCCATATTCTGAATGTTATTTAAATTCAATCACTGCAGCAATTGGTAAACAGAATAAAGGTAAAACATTAACGATATTATAAATGAGAAAATGAGAAAGAAAAAAAATTTAAATTATGCAATTTTATTTTTATCATAAATGACAAAATTAATTAAGCCAACTATTTCTAAATTAATGATACCAATGAAATCATTTCATGGAGTACTTATCCCAGGTTCTTCACAATTAGCCGGGGCAAGTGTTGTGGCTCAAGGTGGAACATTAGCGAATCCATTCAAATTAACTAAAGATGAACTTAATAAAATGATGATAAAATAAATGATAACAAAATTTTATTTTTATATAAATGGATACCCCACAAGCTCAAAATTTACCACGAATGACAATTTTCTTTGGTATGTGGTTTTTCATTATCGATTCTATCCAATGTTGGTTTATTTGCATATGTAAACGCTTTACCACACATTTTGCATTTAGATGAAAGGATTAAATCATGATAGTATTGAAAATCATCCATTGAAACATTATTTTTAGTATCCCTTTCTGCTTTTTCATCTTGTTTCTTATATGATTCAATTTTATATTTCCAATACTTTTTCGTTAATTCAAAACTTGATTCTATCTCTTCCTCGGGATATTTTTCATTAGGATTAAAGTCTTTATATGCTAAAGCGTAACGAATCATTGAAGCATTCGATGATAAAGAAAGATTATGAAGCATATCAATTTTATAAACAAATGTTTCTTCAATAATTTTATCAATTGGGTCAATCATAATTTCAACATCTTTATTGCAATAATGAATAAAATATTCTAATCTATTCTTAAAGTTTTTAGCATCATTGAGATATATTTGATAATCACTATCTGATATAGTTTCTTGAGTTAATGCTGAATAAAATGAATCTTGAGTGAATGGTTCCACTTTATATAATTCTTCTTCGTAATTTTCCCACGTGATGAATTGAAAAGGGAAAAAGGATTTAACACGTGATTTATTGTTTCCGAAATCTTGAGTGAATTGGTCTAACGTCCCACCCGCTATATAATTTCTGATGTCAATAAATCTTAATTCATATGGACAGTTTACTTTCTTTACAATGATTTGCTTAAATTGTGAAGATGAACCAGCATTGATTTTATTTTCCATTTTGCAGTGTTTAAATCACGAAGAATTAAATTTAAATCAAACTTTCCCGAATTAAAACCTATGATATTCACTTTATTGAATTCCTCATCTAGAAGTTCTTTAAATGCTTCCTTCTGTTTTTCATTTAATGTATGGGACAAAGTCCCCGCCGTTTGCGACTTCAATAATTCATCGTATTGACTCATATTCGATTTAGCAACTAATGAACAGGTTGAAAATAAAAACTCAATCCAATCAGAAATAAAAGAATCACTCGAAGTTAAGCAAAAATTCCTCGTATACGTTTTATCATTTAATTTAACCGTTGATGATACCATGAATGGTTTTAAGTAAGCGTTCAAAATTGCACACTCAGAAAGTTGTAATTCTTCTTTAGTCTCTAATGTTTCAAAGTCAAAAGTAATATAATATCTTGTCGGTTTATAATATTTCTGCAAATTGTGAGCTAATAACCACTGATATATCTTCTGTTTCGTAATATGTGGTGCATATGGTTGCTGTGTCTTTTGCAACTGAACGTCTTGAATTAATCTCCCATTATTTTCTTTACATTTCTCACAATGCTTTAAAAATCTTCTTTGGTTTTTCCTTTCTGGATCATCACGGATAGAATAAACTTCTTCTTTACAATATGGACAAACTTTATAGCCGGTGAGTGCTTCAACGTCTGTTATTCTGTCAGCGTGAAGTTTTCCACATGGACTCTGTGTTAATAAAATATTTACTGTTTCAAATTCTGGATCTATCATTATTGATTCCACTAATGGAAAGTCTACCTTGTTAATGTCTACGTCTTCTGGTTGAGGATCACAATAATAGAAATCAATATTAACATTTAACATTCTCGCTAATCTCTCACTTTCTGATGAAATGTCAAACCCTTCATATGCATCTATTGCTTCATTTAAATAGCTTCTACGAGTTTTTAGGATTAACACCATCAGGAATGTTATAGAAGCGTTTAAATAACCTTCTACCTTCTGCTCTAATTTGATTATCATTCATTTTAGCTGTTCCGTTTTTGTTCATTTTATGTAAGAATAAAAAATTAAAAAATAAATAAAAATAAAGTTTATTTTTTAAAGTCCATAAAATGAATTAAGAACACATAAATTTTTATCATCTGCGACGTGACGAATACATTTTAATTTACTCAAGAATGCGTACCCTGATACATTAAATCTAATTCCTGTCTTATTTAATTTCACAACTTTGAAAAGGAATGTATGAATAGCTATAAAATGATGAGAAGATGTTTTATGGGTTGCTTCCATTTTTTCTGAAATAAATGAATAAATATAATGCTTATACGTTTTCATATCTTTTATATTCTTAATAACGAATGGTATAGACCTTTCAACTTCATCTTCCTTCGGTGCTGTTCTTTCATATGAAACATTATTAGTATCTTCAACAATGAAACCGCAATCACATAAAATTTTATATGTTCCAATGGTTTCTTTTGATATTTTATCTAATAAATCAAAAACTTTATCAACACCTGTGCATTTATTTAAATAATAATTTGTATAAATATCATGATCTTCTTTCTTAATCGTATTAGTTGCATATGTCACATTTTTAAGAGCTTTTTTGAATTTTTCGGAATCTAAAGGTGGTGAAAGTAGGATACAGGGGTATCCTTCATTATCAATAAATTGTAACTTATGTTTACGTATAAATTTAGTACCTTCTTCTGAAAGTGTTTCGTCTATTTCACCATCTAATAATTTTGTGTTGATTCTGAGACATAATTTTTATATCTTTCTTCATGAGATTTCTGAACTTCTGATTCTGAAGCTGGGATATTCATTAAACCCTCTACTTCATTTTCATTATATTTTTCAACTTCTCTTAATTCCTTAATTCTTTCATCTATTTCATCTCTTATTTTTTTCAGTCTTTCAATTTCATTGTATTCATCATCTTTAATCCGTTCTTCATAATATTCAGGGAAAACATCAGGTTCTTTAGGTTTTTCTTCTTCAGATGTAGGATATAAGAAATTTATAACATCATCTTTATTCATTTTTCCATCATAATCTAAATCATTTAATAACTCCGCGAATTTTTTACAATTTCTTAAATAATATTTATTAACTTCATAACCTACCTCCTCTAATATATCCTTTATTTCCTCGTTTGTGAATCCTAATTTTTTAACGTTGTTAGTTTTGACGCTCATTTCATACAAAATAAAAAATAAATTATTCAAAAATGTAAGACATAAATGCCTTCCTCCTTTCGTACCTGTTGTCTAAATGTCATGTTGTCATCATTTTTAAGAGAGGTTAATTAACCAGGTGACACATGGTGACGTAGTGACACCTTCAGTTATTCAAAAATGTATGATTCTTACGTTTACAAAAAAAGTCACTAAACCCGTCATACCTACTACTCACTTAGTCTTCCAATAGAGCTCTGAGCATACCAACCAAAATACTTTTTCATTCTGTGTGATAGGAAATAGGAGCAAAACTGCGTAATTAATGTGCTTTTTGCTTTGCCGAGGTTCGTAATTTGTCTTCTACAATAAACCTTTGATCTACCTCGCTAGACAAATAAACACCAAGACATTTTAAATGTATGCATTACAAAAAATGTTTTATAAACTCACATTTATTCCATATTATCATTGTTTGTTTATTATTTTGAATGAAATCTTTAAAATACGTTATGGAATACGTTCTAATAAGAGTTAAAGAATTTTTTACAAGGTTTTAATCAATCAAAATTAATTATTTTAAAATTTCAAAAAATATCGGACAAATATGTATTAAAACTAATCATTAACTATATTTTGTATAAGAAAAGATGAAGCTTCAACTTAATTTCACAAATATTATTTTGCAATATTAAGTATATCAGTCATATCCTCTCTTAAATTAAGATAAGCAAGCGCCTCAGCAACTTCAAATTTGTGAATTACAGGATATGATAAGTAAGGTTCGCCGAGGAAAGATAAAATTGTTCGTGTATTGGCATCGTATACTGCACTAAATGAATGGAACTTCGGAATCATGAATAATCCCATGTCGCTAATGGTTCCATCCTCTAATGAAGCAGTTTGGCCATCAGGGAGAACATGGAACACGAACCACCATCGTTTTGAAATGTTATATGCATAAACTAAGCTTCCTTCGAATTCGGTTCTGCCTCCAAAGAAAATAAGATGATCTTGGATCAGAACCATTCCAGAAGCAAGGGCTGCTGGAGGAGGAGCAGGTCCGGTAGTCTGTATGATTTGAACGATATTGTTTTGTGTGTCAATATCTAGTAAACCACCAGATTTCGAACCTCCGTACGCCAGAATGTGCTTTCCGTAAACAACGGATGGTATGTTTGCACGCCCTATAATATTTTGTGGATAGTTAGACCATTCTAAAGTCTGGAGATCCAAAACACTAAGGTCACTTATCCAGTTTCCGTTGAAACCGCCCCAAATGTATAGTTTATCGTTTATAACTTCCATAATTGGGGAAGATCGTGGGACAGGAAGATTTCCTGTTGTTTGCAAAAATTTTAGTTGTAACGTTTCTAAGTTAATATAATGGATATCTGAGTAATACGTAGAGTCGGCAAAACCGCCGAAAATTATTATGGAGTTTTTGTAAAAAGCTGCTTTTGCTCCTGTTCGTGGTGTTATTGACTCACCTGAAATTTTCATCATGTTCCATTGTAAATTATTCAATGATAAGCACCAGAGATCAAAAACAATTTCACCGCTTTCTAACATACCATATCCAATGTAAACTTTTCTATTTTCAATATCATGAACTGTAAAATGCCCTGTTCTAGGACTAGGAGCTATACTGGAAGGAGAGAATGTGGACCATATTCCTGAAAATGCAGATTTTACTATTTTTTGCTTTGTTTTCGCTAAATCTTCATCAACAGAGACGCCAAAAGTTTGTTGACGATCTTCGCTGGATCTTGCGCCACCAATTGGGAGATATATATCTTTTTGAAAAGGCCTAGCGTAATCATTTGGATCGATACTTTGGTCACCTCCCATTGAATTTTCACTTTCTAATTTACAAGCATTTAAAAATTGAATGCATTACATATAAACGATTTAGTTTTTACCGATTTATAAAATTTTGTTCGTAAGATCTATTATAATATTAAAGATTAACATAAATATTATAATATTATCCGAAGACATAAGCTAGTTTAGAAATCGCACTTTTTGGCCGATCACAAATGATAGCAAAAAAAGTTTTTAACTCGGCATGCCCTGCAATTGCCTCAATTGCATTGATATTATATATAACAGAGTATACATTTTTAAATGTCAACGTTTTTATTGATTTTTTTCAAAATATCGAGCCTAAAATCTACAAAGCAACAGATCTTCAAAATATTGAAATATACGACAATTACTCCTTACTCCATAGAACTATGAATTATCGCCGTATCCGCGTTTGCCTCGATACAGATTATGATGGTAATTGGATGGATAGGGACAGTCTAGGATACCAACACATCGTATATTCTCACTATCAAAAAGCAAGCGTCTGCAAGATCGGTTTGGTTTCGTACGATAAGTTTATTGAACCTGGTCGTCAGTACTTTGGTCCATTGAACTTTACAGGTGTAAATAACTCATTAATTTCACATAGAAAGATGGTAGTTGGCTGGTCTCGCCATTTCCAGTTTGGCCATTTCTTGCAAGATATGGTTTGTGGAGTCATTTCAATTCCATCAGAAATTGTTAAGGATGCAGAGATTTTTGTGGCCTTCCCAGAACCAAACGCTAAAGCCTTTTTCAAACTTTTAGGATACGATGAAGATCACGTTCATGGTCTTACTGATGAGCTTATATTTGGACATGATGTTTATATCGCAGTTAGCGACTTTGGAATGAACGGATTATTTAAATCATGGGTTCAGCTACGCGAAATTGTTTACTCAGTTAATCACTTATACGATATCAAGCCAGTTAATCATTTCTTTATGAACAAGAATGTAGGAAACTGGGGATATGTCAAAAATATGATAGAATTATACAACATTACGAAGAAACTATATCCACAATATAATTGGATTTACCATGATGATAGTATTATTAACAAAAATCTCACAGAATTTGCAAGATTCATGGCATCCGTCAAATTGTTTGTAAGTGGAGCAGGGTCAATCGTTTTTAATAATTATTTGATGCATAATGAAACAGGTATCCTCGTTGTTTCAAGATCTCTTTGCGATAACCCAGCATTCCAAACTGCGCTCCATTATCACATGTGGTTACTTGCTCTTGCTGGTGAAGTAGTTACTCCAAATGGAATTAATATTACGGAAAAGAAATTTTTGGCAGGGGTACATGATATAATTCATGCCACCTATAAATCCAGGTGGCCAGTTGATATTGATAATAGAACAAGAATTCACTTTGTTTTTAATGTAACAGACTACTTTAAGAAAGGCGAAGAGATATTTAGCAATAAAACTACAGAGACGTTCATTAAGCTTAGATATAAAAACAAATCAGATAGATATAGGAAACTCTTAACAAAGAAATGGCTATTTTCCTTATTGTAAATCATGAAAACTATATCTCATATATATTTTTTTAATAAGACTAATTCATGCAGTAGGTTATGCACGAATAGTTATTACCTCATTCTCTGCAGTACTATTACTTATTTATGTCATTATGATCACATTCTTTCGAGTTTTACATGACAAATGTTGGCAAATGCCATGCAAAATCTTCTTATAAATCGAATGAATGAGTGCATTTGGTGTGAATGTAACAAAACAGTTGACCATCATCTGTATGCATGGATCAAATGTGAGGATGGTTGTGTCAGTTTTTTTTGTCTATATACCTTTAGACTAAAAAAATTGACCCATGAGCTAAATCATTCAAGAACCTTGGTTTATGATTTCATTACATGAAAATAATAACTGACTTCATCCCTGATCGTATAACTTTATAATTTTCATGGTTGAAAGTTATAAAAATACTATACACATCCTTGTTTATTCCAAATTTGAGTGCATATACGTACCTGCTATTTCTAAATTTGTTCCAAAAGAACTTTATTATCATATTTAATTATTAAGAATCTTTTTCACTAATAAGTATATACAATAACTGATATGTTCTAATAGCTTTATCCATTTACAGTTTCAAACATGTATTTTTTATAATAAAGGAAATTGTTAATTTGATCTGAACCGATACCGGGAGCAAATTACATCCCTTATTAACATAGAAAAATCTATTGAATAATCAGATCACTAATTGCTAAAATAATTACAATTTTAATAAGTTTTTGGTAATATAATAACTAAAGTTGAGAGTTAAAATTGTTCTATTGATGATAAATTCATCTGTAATGTATTCAGTCAGAAAGGTTCTGTCAAAACTCGTGTTTAAGAAATCTTTGTATCCTAATCCTGAACAATTGCTCCTGCCAATTTTAAGACAAAAGAAATGCCAAGAAGACACTTCTGTATAATAGTTGGAGTAAGATGAAGAATTAAAATAATAATATTTAACATCTTCATGATAATATCTCCGGCCTTCTTCAATCTCAACTATATTATCAAAGACAAAATCTCTTTTCTTTTTTAGTAACCAGTGATCACAATAGGGATTATATGGATTTCTTGAGTTAACTTCAATGGATTTACTATTATATTTATAAATTAGATTAAATCTAGTAAGGCAAACGACATCATCGTCATATTTTGGTAATCTCATCAAATCTCTTAATTTTTGAATATCATAAATATGATCAAGATCAATTTTAATAAGCCAGTCATTTAATGGTATCTTGCTTGCTGCAAAATTATACAATGCAGCTAATGTATTGTTAAAATTGTGTGGTTTATCATAATTGATTATATCCAGGGGTTCAATAACATGATGAGGATAATAATATAGTTTATATCCTGGATTGTTTTGTACAAATTCTTCTAAAATTTGATCTGTTCCATCTGTAGAATTGCTAATGACGATAACGCCTTTTTTGATAACGGGGATTATGGAATCTAAACTTGATTTAGCAGTTACTATCTCATTTTTGGCTCTAATGAATGCCCATGGTTCAACGGGATCTAGCCTTTGAGGACACCATGTTGGAATAAATTGAGTCTTCTCATGAGGGCAGTCACGATACACACCAACTGTTTTAGGCCTGTTAATTACATTGGCATTGAAGAATGCCAGCAAAATAAATACTAAAATTGAAGAAATATGAAATCGATATTTTCTTCGAAGATACATTTATTAAGGGGGTATATTTTGAAAGATTTACATTTACAAGGGAATAAATATTAATTGAAAAATTTCATTTACCAATATTTTTGACTTCGATCTTTAACTTGTATGTTTAAATGGAATTACCTGCCTTAAATTGGTCTATTCAAACTTTTGTTTGCGAAGGTGTAAACTTCTCAAAAATAAACTGTCCTGCTCAAAATTGAATAGTTTGCATAATGTCAATATTCGATTCCAACTATAGTAAGGTAAAATAAAATAATTTTGTATTTTGAATTGAAATTAATCGTTATATTTCCATATGACAAATAGTGTTTTATCAAAGTTCCGAAATAAGTCTATTCGCAAATTTGGACTTCGACCAATCTTAGTACTGATAATAGAGTGCTTTTCCTTTTTTATTATCCTCTTAAATAGAGTAGAAATTTTTTCAGAAGGTGATTTCTACGACACAATGAACATTTTACTTTCATGGTCTGGCGACCTTCATAACTTAGGTCCAGCAATATATGCATTTATAAATGCACATCCAAATCAACATATAACTTTCTATCTTACAACTACTGAATCAAAATATATACCGAAATACAGGGCGCATTTTGATAAACGGCCTATGCACCAAGTGAAATTCTTTTTTGAAACTTATGAAACCAGATACCTTGCCAAAAGCGTTTATTATGTTCCATATGACGCTTACATCCGACTTCTTTTCCCAAATGCACATCCTGGACTTGAAAGGTTCCTATATTTAGACGGCGACGCAATTGTACTCCATAACATCAATGATATGTATTATTACGATTTTCAAAATAAATCAGCAATAGTGATTTTAGATCATCATCCAATATGTGAAGGATTCAGCAGATATTTCAATTCCGGAGTTATGATGTTCAATAATTGGAAGTATGTTCGAGAAAACTGTTTGAAACAGGCTGAAGATTACTTAGAATGACTTGAGAAGAATAAAGGTGTGTGGTTCAACGATCAAACTCATTTGAACAAAATCTTTGAACATAATGAGTAGGGGTAATTTTAGCTAAAAGTGACACACCCGTGAAGGGTGTGATTACCGATCGGTAATTTCGACAGTTTAGAATTTAAAATTTTTTATGGAACTGTTGCGAGTTTCATAAAGAATTTAAGGAATAAAAAAAAAAAGGTAGTGGGGGTTCCAGGCACTTCGTGCCCTCTAGCCCTGAAGATGTTTAGTATAAATGAAGTTTTTATTCGGAGGGCTTCCAGGCACTTCGTGCCCTCTAGCCCCGAAGATGTTTAGTATAAATGAAGTATTTATTCGGAAAATTGTTAGTCTTCTGGTGTGAATTCGGAGGACTCTTCTTCTTCCTCCATTGCTTCTGGGAAGAAGCCTTCTTCTGGGTCGAAAACATTATATAATGTGTCGCTTTTCACAAATTATATATGTTTTCATGCTTTGTCACTTTTCTGTCACTTTTCAGGTAAAAACATTTTTATTATTATATATAAATGAATTTTACAAAACCACCGTTACCGTTCTTTGGAAATAAGAGTAGATGTAAAGATATTATATTGAGAGAACTTAAGAAACTACCGAATGGTCTAACATTTGTAGATTTGTTCGGTGGAAGTTTCTATATATCCCATTTATGTCATACAATATTCCCAGACTCAAAGATTATATGCAATGACTTCGACAACTATATGGACCGTCTCAAACATATTCCAGACACAAACAATATATTGAAAGAGTTAAAAGAAAAGATACCTATAGGTAAGATGGAACGTATACCATTAGATAACAAAAATATTGTGAGAGAGGTTTTGAAAAAAGCAGAATATATAGACTGGGATAGTATATCTGCTAGACTATTATATAGTGGTTCTATAAGAGTTCATGACATTGAAACACTTATGTCAAAAGTTTTATATCTTAACTATACAAATGTTTTCAAAGAGAACATAGAAAAATATATTGAGGGTATAGAGTTTGTGAGATGTCATTGGACAGAGTTGTATGAAAAATATAAAGACAAGGAAAATGTTTTCTTTATAGTGGACCCGCCGTTCTATAACACATGGGATTTTCAATACCAAGTAGACTGGACTTTGAGAGACTCTTTAGAAACTTTAGACGTTATACATAACCATCCATGCTTTTACTTTACATCCGATAAAAGTGGTTTGGAAACCGTTATGAGATGGTTAGAGGACATACATGACTATGAGTTTAGATATGACAAGATAGAATATGAGAGAGGTCCTATAAACCGGAGAAAGTGTCATAACAAAGAAATTTTATTAGTAAGTAAATGTGGTTTGAAATAGGACTACTTGTTTTAGGTTTTTTCCATTGTGTCATTTATTTATTTGACGTGGCAGAAAAGTACAGAGAATATGAAGATGAACCAATGCCTGCAAATGTTCAGTATATGTACTCGTAAGAGATATTTTTATCTAATATTAAATGGACGCACAGAACTTAGCGAATGCACAGCAACCTGGACAACCAAACCCAGAGAATATTCCAAATGAAGTTAGAATACAAACTGCAATGGCAAACTATGGTCAAGTGCCAACAGATGTACAAATGCAAACTGCCATGTCAAATGACGCTGCGTTAGGTTTGCCACCATGGTATGCAAATATGAGATGGAAAGAGTTTTATACAAACCCTGAAGTGGGATATAAACAACTTTATGCAGATGACGCGAACACAGGAGTTGACCCAGAATATGTTTTCTACCAGAGGAGAAACAGAATGTATGAGCTCCAGTTAAAGAATGCTATGGAACTCAACAGGAAACGTAAGAGACTAGGCGGACATTAGATTTTTACTACTAGTAAAATGGGTTTCTTCAGTAAGATAGGAAACTTCTTCAGAAGAGTTGGAAGAGGTATATGGAATGGAATAAAATCTGTCGGAAAAGGAATTTGGAACGGAGTCAAAAATATTGGTAAAAGAGTAGGTCAGTTCGTTGGTATTATACCTAAAGACCCTGAACCAGAAGAGCAAGCTCCTGTTATACAACAGCCTGAACCTGCACCACAGTCTAGTTGGCAACCAAATCCAACACCTCAACCGTATTAAAAAGTTATATTTTTACCGTTCGATAGTAGTTGTATATGAAACTAAGTTCTAAGTAAAACGCATGGTATAATGGAATTATTCTTTTTCTTCCATCTGTAGTAAACCATACTTGAAAGTCTGAAATACTTCCACTTGGTGGTTCGTATAACTTTGTAGGTTTTTCGTAAAAGTCATTTGCCAAGCATAAGAAAGAGTTTTGGGCGCCAGAAAATGAAGCATGAACAATAATAGCAGCTGGGTCGA